GCATCTTTCCCCTCCCACCACCGTTGGCTTCCACTCCCACCTCGGGTGCCTAGGCAGCACTTGGAAACATCCTCCCAACATGAAAGGCACTATCTTTTGGATGAGCCATTAAATCAAGCTCTCATCTGCCTGTTCAGGTGGATGTTAAAGATCCCATGTCACCATTCGAAACAAAAAGGGAGTTTCTCTCTCGTGTCTTAGAATTATAGGTTTATACAGCACAGAAGGAGGCCATTCAGCCCATTGTGTCCATGCCGGGTCTATCCAAATTAATGACTGTCCAAATTAATCCCATATCTCCCGCTCTCTCCCTATAGCCCTGCAAATTTGTCAGCCCCAACTTCTCTCTTGAAAGTTTCACGCAATGCATTCCAGATCTGAACAACTCACTGTGTGAAAAATGTTTTTCTTTTGGCAACTACTTTAAATCTGTGTCCTTTGGTTACCAACTCACCCGTCAGTGGAAACAGTTTCTCCGTCTTCACCCTATCGAATCTCCTCATAATTTTGAACACCTCTATTAAATCTCCCCTTAACCTTCTGTGCTCTAAGAACAAGAGCCAAGTGTTAGATTCTTTCATATATATTGGTGTGCTTTTCTTTGGTCAGCTGTGTGTCTGACTCGTGCAGAAACCCATCACTGTGCTTAAGAATAGACAAATCAAACTGAGAATTCCAGGCATCCCACCTACACATAGAAATTGTTGGAATAGGACATACCCTACTTGCCTAATTCCAGAAAGTATTTGGTGCAGGTTAGCAAAAGCCAAGGGTTGGAGTCTTTCATATATATTGGTGTTACTAACCTGTAACCAACCTACAGCAGGATGTTTGGTTATTATAAATGGAAGTTCTCTTCCCACCCCCATGACAGAGTAATTTTTTGGGGTCAGCCGGGTATCTGACACATGCAGAAATCACCATGTTTAAGAATATCCAAACCAATCAGAGTTCCACACATACTCTGCCTACACATGGAAAGTTCCAAAGTTCCCTGTGTCTGGAATGGAATGCACTCTCTTTCCTTGGAGGGATGCCCTTCTTACCTAATTCTGAAAAGTATTAAGCACGGATTGGAGAGAGCCAAGACTTGGAGATGCCAGAGTGTGTTTTGGGGTAACTACTGGAGTTTAACAACAACAACAAGATTACATTTGTATAGCGCCTTTCACGTCAGGAGGACGTCCCAAGGCGCTGGACAGAGTACAGCATTTCAGGCTCGAGCTGGGATCGGGGTGGGGGGAGGGGAAGAGAGGTCGCCGGTGGCATGGTCGAAGAGGAGGGTCTTGAGGCGGGACTTGAAGGAGGCTAAGGAGGGGGCGAGGTGGAGTGACTGGGGAATGGAATTCCAGAGGTTGGGAGCAGAGTAGCTGAAGGCTCTCCCGCCAATGGTGGGGCAGGTGGGTCGAGGGACTTGGAGCAGGCCGGAGCTGGCTGAGTGGAGGGAAAGGGTGGGTTGGTAGGGGGTTAGTAGGCCATGGAGGGCTTTGTATGTGAGGACCAGGATCTTGAAATGGATCCTCTGAAGGATAGGGAGCCAATGGAGTCGGGTGAGAGTGGGGGAGATGGGGTCACGGAGTTTGGTGCATGAGAGGACACGGGCTGCAGAGTTCTGGATTATCTGCAGCCTGTGGAGGGACGAGTTGGGAAGGCCGACAAGCAGAGCGTTTGCATAGTCGAGCCTGGAGGTGATGAAGGCATGAATAAGAGCTTCAGCAGCCTGAGGGGTGAGGTGGTGGTGGAGTTGGGTGATGTTACGAAGGTGAGGGAAGGCAAAGTGGGTCATGGCTTGAATGTAGGGGAGAAAAGACAGTTGAGGGTCAAACAAGACACCTAGGTTCCTGACTGGCTCCGTGAGTTGTAATGTGCAACATGGAATAAAATAATTATTAAATAAAATAATTTGTCTACAAATAAAATAAACATTTTAACCAGCTAAAAGCACATAGGTTGTCATCGAGAGCGCCATCTGGTAAGCTTTCCGCTGCTTGTCCAGCTACCCATGAGGGCTTTGGTTTATAAAGTTAATGGGAGCATAGTGGGAAGCATCCCTGTCCCTAGTGACTGGGCTGCTCCTCCAAGTCCTGCAAATAAGCCAGGCTGGTTGTGCTGTCATCAGCAGTGCCCTGGAATACTGCGACCCACCTGGCTCAGGAACTACTGAGACCGCCATAAAGAGTGAACCATTGATAGGCATTTCATCTTGAAGCCAGCTTAGCCACAAAGAGACACCCCTTACCTCCCTCTCCCCCCAAGGAGGAAAATCACTAAGTGGGTGAAAGCACTGCGCGCAACATGAAACCTTACAGACTGGGAAATCGCAGGGTTAAATCCCCGATTACCATGAGTCTGTGAGCTTACCTGATTATAGGCAGGGCAAGAATTGGGCTGCAATTGTCATTGATGCACCTGGTACAGGGTGGGAAAACATATAAGATCGCTGGAAGATGACAACCCTGGACACCCAGACAGGATCGGGCTCGGAGGCAAAATTTCAAATAGCCTGAACAGCCTGATTCTACTTGTAAATGCAGTCTTGTTCCTATCGCCCACATAAAACTGGTAGTTCGCTTCACAGGTGTTTATGGAACCATACTTTTATCGGCTTCCACATTTGCCTACAAAAATGCATTCTCAGAGGTACTGTCCTTCAGATGAGATATTGATCTGAGATCCCTTCTGCCTGTTGAGGTGGATGTTAAAGCTCTCATGGCACTATTGGAAAAGAGGAGTGAGTTTTTCTTTCCTGGTGTCTTGGCCAACAATCGCAGAGATATAATTGATTACCCGCTCCTTGGCTGTTTGTGCGACATTGCTGAGTGGAAGCTGGCTGTCGCATTCACCTACAAAATTCACCTCTACTGTATAAGCGCTTTGAATCCTCCCGACGTGAAAGGCACTATACAAATATAATTTTGTTATTGTTGTTGAGATATCCTCCTGACCCAAAAGGCGTACATCAAATGCATGGATTTTTAGTATTATTTATTATTGTTCCATATGCTGTAACCAAGTGAATGTTATTGTGGTTAAAAACTTTGGCTGAACATGTTATAAACTAAGATTGATTGTTCCAAGTTGGAGTCCCAGAATGACCAGGGATTGGCAGCTACACGTGGCTGGAGTGTGAGCAGTTTAGAGAGAACAAACAAAATAATTCTCTAAGTTCACTTTTATAAGTGTCCTCTAGTGAAACAAGATAGACCAGGACAGCTCCAACACACTCACTTTCACTGGATCATAATGAAAATTAGTATTAATATTGACAAGAGGTTATAAGAATAAATATTCTTGCATTGGGCTGCACGCGACAGAGTGGAGATTTGCATTTAAAACTGATAAATGAAACCGCAGTATTGTGCATTTTTTNCCGACGGGTGCTCAGCAGCACGGCTTGCAGTTTGGCTATGAACCAGCCACTTCTCAGTTACCACCCTTTGCTGAGTCACTCTCCAGGAATTACTGAAAAGTAGACGTGAGCCAAGGTTCCGAGAGACTTCCCAGTTCCTCCTCCGAGGACAGCAAAGCCAGGCGGGTCTGCAGAACGCCAAGGTACTGATGATCGGCAGAACTTGGAAGGGCAGACCTGTCACTGGGCTAGGGAATCCTCCCACTCAGCTTCTGTTAACCCTGCAAGCCAAAGCCCTAACGGGTAGGGTGGTCCTAGCTGGACAAGTCGTGGGAAAGCTTGCAAGACAGCGATATCGATGTCAAACTATTCAATTTTAGTTGATTAGATTCCAGCAGTACCCTGAAGCAGATGGGACCTTGGTTTAACATTTCATCCGAAGGATGGCACCTCCGACAATGCAACACACCATCAGCACTGCACTGGGGCGTCAACTTATAATACGTGATTCCAAGTCCCGATGTTGGGCTTGACCCCACAACCTTCTGATTCAGAAGTGAAAGTGCTACCAACTGAGCCAAGCTCCATGTTTCATTCCATGTCTCTAGTGTCATTCCCTCACAACAATCCCATCACTGAAAGGAAGTTTATCCCAGAGTCCTGGCAAACAATCCACCAAAGAAAAATTTGGTCAATTGTTTCATGGCTGTTTGTGAGACATTGCTATGCACAACTGGGCTGCTGCGTTTGCCTACAAATACAAAGTCACTCCATTTCACAGTAAATCCTGTGAAACGCTTTGAAGTGTCCTTCAGACATGATAAAGCACTATAAAATTGCAAGGATTATTATTATTTATTATTAAAGTAACAAGAGTAGTGGGGTCCTCAAGAATTGATAAGCCATATTTATACTACATATACACCACATTTATTTAAATCTTTCTGTTTCCGTTCATAGAATCATAGATTTATACAGCACAAAAGGAGGCCATTCAGCCCATCGTGCCTGAGCTGGCTCTTTTAAAAGAGCTACCCAAATCAATCCCATTCCCCCGCTTTCTCCCCTTAGCCCTGCAAGCCTTTCCTCCCCAAATAATAATCTACTTCTCTCTTAAAACTTGTTATTGAATCGGCTACTACCAGCCTTTCAGGCGATGCATTCCAGATCCGAACAACTCGCTGTGTGAAAAAATTTCTCCTCGCCTTCCCTCTGTTTCTTATAACAACTATTTTAAATCGGTGCCCTCAGGTTACCAACCCACCCGCCAGTGGAAATAGTTTCTCCTTGTTCACCCTATCGAATTCCTTCATAATTTTGAAAACTTCTATCAAGTCTCCTCTTCACCTTCTCTGCTCCGAGGAGAATAATCCTAGCTTCTCTAGCCTCTCCTCATAACTGAAGTCCCCCATTCCTGGTACCATCCTGCTAAATCTCATATCCAACAATCCCTCAAATAAAATTGGTCACTCATTCCGTGGCTGATTGTGGGAAATTATTGTATGCAATTGTGCTGTCGATTTTGCCTACGTATACATATTCAACTCCATTTCACAGTAAATCCTATGAAGCATTTGAGGTGTCCTTCCAACTTGGTAAGATGCTATTCCAAATGCAAGGGTTATTAACATTGTAAATGTTTTTCACCCAGAAACCTGACTGGAAGATTTCCAGACTACCCCGACGTTGAGGAAGGAGGATCGTTGAAAATTTTCACAAACAAAACTCCAGAAGAGGTATGTTCCCAGCCTTGGTAACCAAGACGCAGCAACACACGTCCTTCATCTAATAATAATAATAGCCATCCTGGCCTTTGACATGGTGCCTCTAATGTCGAAACATCTTGAAGTGCTGAGAATTCTGTGGGAATGTCAAGTGTGGTGACTATTTGTAGACATTAAATTAAAAAGCTGGGAAGGTGAGTGGGTTCATTTTAAACTGCTCCAGCTTTGCATTGTATTTCTGAAGAGCTGAACAAATGCCTCTATGTCTCATGACGGATTGTACTGAATATCTCATGAAAACGTATGTTATTCGAGCAAAACGTCTGAAGAACGGCACCTCCACCAATGCAGTCCCAGCCTCCCCACCGCCTCTCTAGCACTGTATTTGAATGTTAGTCTGGACTGTGAATTCAAAGCCCCAACGTGGAGCTTGAACCCACAACCATCTGACTCAGAAACGAGAGAACGACCAGCTGAAGCAGGATGACACTTTAACATTCTTTAACACTGAGTTCATTTCAACACCTGCTTCACTTTGCACTTTATTCTACGAGTCAATTTGTTTTCTTCAAGCCCATTTAATCATCACAGCTCTGTTAATATTCGGCATTTCTCCAAGATTGAGGTGATATTTCAGAAATATAATCAAATATACATTTATATTATGCCTTTCACATCAGGGGGACATCTTAAAGTGCTGGATGAACACTTGACTTGGGAGTGAGAGCCAAGGGGGTGGTTGTGGGGAGAAGAAAGATAACTGAAAGAGGCATCTTTTGAAACTTTGAGAAAGTCCTTCTGTGGCTAAAATCCAGAGAGTATTTAATTTTCACTGAACCTAGATTGAAACTGGACCTAAGCTTCAGGGTCACAGTGTCCCGGCAACTTGGTGCTCCTGTCCAGCTGAGAACTCTCATTGGTGCCATTGATTGCAGCAAATCATTTGGCTATAAAGAACAAGGCTGCAAGCAATTTGATTTTGTAGATAAATGGAGATTTTATGGAGAAAAAACACATGGACGGGGAGAATGTTTTGGATATAACAAACTGGGGAGTTAAGCTTTTGGCTTTGAACGTACAAGGAAGGAATTCATTCATTCAGCTCCATGTTCAAATGTCAAAAGGCCCATTGGCGCGTCAAGAACTTTTGAATAGAAATTCCACCTTATCTAGATTTTTTCTATTAACATAGTTAATAGGTAGTTCAGCACCTTGGGACATCCTCCCAACGTGAAAGGTATTATATAAATGTAGTTTGTGGTTATTGTTATTTGTTGTTGTAGTACAGAGTACACAGGATTTAGTAAATTTGCTTAATTGTCTGAGGCAACATCCTTCAGATGAGATGTTAAACCAAGGTCCCATCTGCCTATTCAGATGGATGTTAAAGGTCCACTGCAGTTTACAGTAAATCCTATGTTTTGGTTCACTCTCCTGATGTGACAGGCAATATACCACCGAATTAGGATTATCATTATTTATTATTATTTTGTAAGGTGGAGAAAGGACAGAGAAATGCGATTAAAAAGCTAAAGAGAGTGACCATAAGACTCACATTTGTAAGCTTCAAGTCGCTTTGACTTTTTCCTAAGGTTCCCTAACACATGATTCCATTTGTACAGTAGAAGGTCTCTGTGAAGATGCCTCTTAATTTGTCCTCACTCTCCCCAAACCCTGTGCTCCTAGTGCTGTCGTCACCCTCAGCAAACCCTGAGCTTTGTGCAGGAGCCTCAGACAGATTAACTCCGGGAAACTCGCCATGTTCATTAGTGCTGCTCATTTGATTTGCTGCTGCAGCCTCAGGCCTGGGGTGTCTGACCCTTGCCCTGAATGTGAACGGCTGAAATTGTCAGTGAGACAGGGCCGTGGTGGGGGGAGGGAATTGGCATGAAGCTGTTACCATGGCTTAGGGGCTGAGAATTCTTGCAAATTAATATGTGCTGTTTACTGAGCCTCCAACTGACTCTACAGTCGTTTCTCTCCAGACAAAGTCTGGAGAGTTATATCTCTCCCCCTCACTGATACCCCCCGCCAGCTTGCTGAAAGAATATAAACACACAGCTTAATGTATAAGGGCACTACATTAAATAGACGGAACAAATAATTTACATTCAATGTAATCTCTGCAAAGCCATTTTAATAATTCTTTATCTCGTTCTGTTGCCTATAATATTTATGCCTTGGGTTTGCTATTTAAAGTTTGAAACATTCCAAAGCACTTCACCAGTAATTGAATCAAGATCCTCGTCCCTTCATGGTCTCACCCCACCCTACCATTGCGACCTCCTCAAACCCTGCTAATTTCTGCTCGGCAGGCACCAGCCCACTTCATGTCCCCCGCCTATCATTGGCTGTTGAGCTTTCAGCTTATCTGCCTGCTCTCTCTGGAACTCCATCCCAGAGCACTTTTGACTTGCCCCTTCCCTCTCCTCCTTCAAGGTCTACAACAACAACAACAACAATAAGATTCCATTTATTGAGCGCCTTTCACGTCGGGAGGACGTCCCAAGGCGCTGTACAGTTGGGTCAGGACCCGAGCAAGGGGGAAATGGTCAGGGTGAGGGGAGGGAAGGGAGAGAGCGAGGAGGGGGTAGAGAGTCAAGAGTGGAGCTGAAGGCACGGTCAAAGAGAAAGGTCTTGAGACCGGCCTTGAAGGAGGAAAGGGAGGAGGCAAGGCGAAGGCACTGGGGGATAGAGTTCCAGAGCCTAGGGGCTGAGAGGCTGAAGGCCCGGCCACCGATAGTAGGGCGGTTGGGGCGGGGGATGTGGAGCAGACCGGAGCCAGAGGAACGGAGGGTACGGGCGGGTAGGTAGGGGGATAGTAGGTCGGAGAGGTAGGAGGGAGCAAGGCCGTGAATGGCCTTGTAGGTGAGGGTGAGGATCTTGAATTCGATCCTCTGGGGGATGGGGAGCCAGTGGAGGCGAGCGAGGGTGGGAGTGATGTGTTCCGAAGCCTGGTGCGGGACAGTACACGAGCTGCAGAGTTCTGAATGACCTGCAGCTTGTGGAGGGAGGTGCCGGGAAGGCCGGCGAGGAGAGAGTTCCCATAGTCCAGCCTTGAGGTGATAAAGGCGTGGACCAGAGTTTCAGCAGCGTGAGGTAGTGCCGTAGTCTGGCGACATTCCGGAGGTGATGGAAGGCGGTGCCAGTTGTGGCGCGGATATGGGGGAGAAAGGACAGCTCAGGGTCGAACAGAACCCCGAGGTTCCTGACTGGCTTTGAGAGGTGGAGAGTGCAGCCTTGGATGCTGATGCTGTCAGCGCCTGAGGTGCGGAGGCGCTGACGTGAGCCAATCAGGAGGGCCTCAGTTTTGCGTACGTTGAGCTGGAGAAAGTTATCTCTCGTCCAGGACTCGATGTCGGACAGGCAGCTGTCAGGACATCGGTGGTCGTGGAGTTGAGGGTAGAGGAGGAAAGGTAGAGTTGGGTGTCATCCGCATACATGTGGAAGTTAACCCCATGTCTGCGGATGATGTCACCAAGGGGGAGCATATAGAGGGTGAAGAGGAGGGGACCGAGGACAGAGCCTTGAGGGACACCGCACGAGACAGTGCGGGGGCCGGAGGAAAAACCATTTGAGGAGACAAAGTGAAGACGGTGGGAGAGGTACGACCTAAACCACTCAAGGACAGGGCCTTGAAGGTTTAGGTGGGAGGACAAGCGGTGGAGGAGGATAGCGTGGTCGACCGTATCGAATGCTGCCGATAGGTCGAGGAGGACGAGGAGGCAGAGGGAGCCCTGGTCACAGATGGTCAGGATGTCATTGGTGACCTTGACCAGGGCAGTTTCTGTGCTATGGGCAGCACGGAAACCCGATTGAAGGGGTTCGAATAGTGAATGGTTGGAGAGGAAAGAGCGCAGCTGGGAGGCGACAACTCGTTCCAGGACCTTGGATAGGAAGGGGAGGTTGGAGATGGGCCGGTAGCTTGATAGCTGCGACGCATCAAGGGAGGGTTTTTTTAAGGTGGGAGTGATGGTGGCAGTTTTTAAGGGAATGGGAATAGAGCCAGAGGAGAGGGACAGGTTGACGATGTCTGTGATATGTGGGGCAAGGAGGTGGAGCTGGGAGATAAGGAATGGAGTGGGGATGGGGTCAAGGGAGCAGGTGGTAGGTTTCAGGGAGAGGATGAGTTTGGTGACAGGATGGGGAAACGGGTACGAAGGTGTGTAGGGGAGGATGGGTAGGAGTCGGAGTGTGGGAGGGAAGGGGTGGGTGGTGGGTGGATGTTGGAGGGGAAGTGACCGCGGAGCGGATTCCCTTGATCTACCTCAAGACCTTCCTCTTTGACTGTGCTTTCATCCATCTTTCCCCCCTCATCCCCACCAAACAAGACAAGCCAACACATAAACACAGTATGTAAAGCAAAGTATTAAAGTGGCTTTAGGTATCAGTTAGTACTTGGCAGGTTGGTTACCAGTGACCTGGAAATCAAAATGATGGTCAAATAGCTTCAGAGTTAATTTTGTAACTCATAAATTCCAGGAGCAAATCATTTACAGTGTGGACGTGTAGGAATGGTGATTCTGTGCTCTGAGCAGAGTTGAGGGAAACTCCAGTGGCAAACAGTGATGGTACTAAACTGGTGTTTGTAAAATTATGCCAGGTGATCTTGGAGGAATGACAAGCTAAGCTAGCCTCTATAGGCTCAACAAGAGATGTCTATGTCTTGCACACACCTTGTACAGAGGGATACTGTACAGATACACAAAACCAGATACAGAGGAAGAGGTTCTTCAGTAGGACTTGGAAGAGCAGACCAGTCACCAGGGGCAGGAACCCTACTCAGCTCCCAATAACCCTGCAAGCAAAAGCCCTAATGGATAGGGTCATCCTAACTGGACAAACAGCGGAAAAGTTTGCCAAACAGTGCTATCAATGGCAAGCTATACTGTTTCAGTTGATTAGATTCCATCAGTATCCCAACACCCACACACGGTCCCCAAGCCTCGGCTCATGTCAACTTGTGCCTAATATTTTCCAGAATTAGGTAAGCTGGATGCATCCCTCCATGGAGAGATGCCCATTCTATTCCATTCCAACAAATCTCTCTGGAATTTCCATGTATAGATGGGATGCATGGAACTCTGTTTGGTTTGGAGGGACCCTGTTCATCGAGTCTTGGAACCCATATAGGTGACATTCCAATTCAGTGTTGAGGGTGCATATTGTCTGAGGTGCCATCTTTTGGATGAGACGTTAAACCAAGGTCCCATCTACCTGTTAAGATGGACGTTAAAGTTCCCATGGCACTATTTGAAAAGAGAAGGGAGTTTCTCCCAGTGTTCTGGCCAACAATCCCCCAAATAAAATTGGTCATTTACTGCATGGCTGTTTGTGCGATATTACTGTGCATAACTGTGTTTCACCCACAAAATACACAATCATTGTACTTTACAGTAAATGCTGTGAAGCACTTTCAGACGTCTTGATGACGTGGTCAGGCAATATATCAAATGGAATGAATTACCAATATACACTAAAACTCCGGCCAATAGTCCGGTGAGCCAGAATTTCCAGCTAAGTGTAATCAGTGCCAATACCGGCTTTTTAAAAAGTCGGTCCTGGCATTTTAATTGTTTGAAACCCACAAGAATAGATAATAAGCTACCTTCTGCTCACAGGATTCAAACTGAGTCAAAGTCAGTATCCCTGGCCACTGAAGGCCAGTGAGCATGGTGAAGTAGGGAATCTGGTAAGCCAGGGTTTAGTGGCGTGGTCACATAGCAGTGTTCTGGGAAATTTGTCACATTGCCTGCATCATGTGCTGCATTTGCAGTTCTTTAGCCACTGAAACAAACATTTGTGGGTTTTAGCATCATACCAGACATGAGCTTGTGTGGATGTGCTGAAATTCCAGCAAAGTGTTGAGGGAGTGCTACATTGCCAGGGTGATGAGGTGATAGACTGAGGTTTAAATGGACTATTCTAGTGGTTCCAATGGGTGTAACGCACCCCACATCACTATTTGGAACAGTGTCCTGGCCAAGAGTCTGCCTTCAACTGAGCTCAACAAAACAAAGACAGATTCCTCTCATTGTTCGGACAGACCAGTCAATGCGTTGCCTACATAACTAACTAGTACTGTGCGATAAGAAGCTAGATCGAATGCAAGCATTGATTCAATTAGTCTAAGTTGCCACTCCAATGCAACGCTGTGGGGGTGGTGGGGGGNAATTGCATTGTAGGAGGTGCCATCCATCGAATGAGATTTTAAACCTTCTGCCTGTTCAGGTTGGTGTTAAAGATCCCATGGCACTATTCGAAAAGAGAAGAGAGTTACCCTCTCCCAATGGCCTGACCAACAATCCCCCAAATAAAATTGGTCACTCACTCTGGTTGTTTTGTGGGACATTGCTGTGCATAAACTGTCTGCTGAGTTTCACCCACAAAATATACAGTCAAACCACTTCACAGTTTATCCTGCGAAGTGCATTGAGGCGTCTGGATGATGTGATAAAGGCCTACATCAAAGGCAAGGATTATTATTACTAATCAAACTGACAGCTAACAACACTTTTTAAAACAGTTCAGAGTAACTCACTGTGTGGGGCAGTTAATTATACCGGGCGTAACAGGGTCCATTCATACCATCACATACTGGCCAGGTAGTGATTGGCCCTGGCAATGTAACAGTCTATGCCTAGCAATGGTTCCAATGCCTGCCAATGTTTCCATTGTGAGACAGGGCAACATGTACCAATTTAGCCTTTTGACAGACACTGGAGGCAAGTTTTTAGCCTGTGAATCCGCCACTAATGTTTCCATCCCCAGGTATACGCGGAACTGATTCTAAAGAAAGAAGAAGAAGAGAGGAAAAAGAAAGAGAAAGAAATGGAGGCGAATAAAATTGCGAGACCGAAAATTGTGAAGAAAGCAAAAAAGAGTGCCGAATCAGTCAATAAGGTATGTTAAAAGGGTGAACCTCCTTTTCCCACACAGTGGGTGTTCCAAAAACTGCATTGAGCTTCAATAAACTCCTGATAACTCGTCGCTCCCAGGGAAAGGGGGTTAGTGATGAGTTATCAGGAGTAGTGAGTTGGGTATATGTATAAATGCATCAATACAATACAAAATTACATTTGTATAGCACCTTTCAAATTGGAAGGACTTCCCAACGCACTGGACAGTCAGGGATTTGGAGTTTTTGGACCCAAGCTGGGGGGCGGGATTGGGGTGGGTGAAGGCTTGGTCGAAGAGGAGGGTTTTGAGACTCGCCTTGATGGAGGCAAAGGAGGGAGTGAGGTGAAAGGAATGTGGGAGTTTCATAGGGTGGGGACAGAAAGGTTGAAGGTCCAACCGCCGATGGTGGGGTAAATGTGGCCGGTATTTGACGCATGATGATGTCAATGTGGTCATGTCGAGTTATCAAGAGTTTACTGTAGCTTTTTAACAATATGAATTTGGCCTTGTGTAATAAGGAGATATGAACAAGCTACCTTCTGAGGAAAGATTGTCTTTATTTTCCACATTGATCAATTTCCTGTCCAGCATATATTGTAAGATTGAAATGTCTCACAGCCATGACTTGCAGCTGGGTGCTTTAATCCGCTCACTCTTTGCGGATATCCTTATTATCCACTTCCCAAGCGGAGAGGCCCACTCAGATCTGACTGATAGGTTTGGTTTCCAAATGACAGGCAATCTCCACCATCGGACAATTTGGACCACATCAAAGCAGTGCTTGGGGTGTCAGAGAAAGCCTCAGTATCTTATGAATTATTTATCCAGTTTATCTTGCTTTGCTGCAGGCCAGTGAAGCAATTTGGATCCAATAAAACCAACATAAAGCCAACAATAAAGACTGCGGTTCTCACCCACATCTCCAAAATGCATGACTTTGTCCTTCAGTGAAAAACACTAGGTAAACACATTCCTAGTCACAGTTTGAGGCAGGAGAAGACCATTGATCTATCTCACTACAACATCCAATTTCCTGAAAGAGTCCTCGGACACACCCAGTAACTGAATCTTTTTAAATTCCAGGAACTTGCCCCATTTCCTTTTGAACCACTTTATAGTTCACAAGATCAAGAAATTGGTTTGGATGAAGAAGGCCCATAGTCCCAGTGTCTTGGCTTCTACCACCTTTCCTGAAAACCCTGTTCTAGTTGTTGAATACCCTCTGGGTAAAGAAAAATTATACTCATTCCACCATCATGGAGCAAGAGAAGATTTCAAACAAGAACTGGACAAACTCACCACCCATTAATAAACATGGAATGTCTGGCAGTGGTCAAGGCAGGATCCATATACAAAACAATACAACAATGCAAATTTACATTTCTATAGTGCCTTTCAGGCCAGAAGGACGTTCAAAGGCATTTGAAATATTCGCTTTGAACGGAGAATGAGAGAGATTTCTAAACTAGTCATTTGCAGGGGTATAGAGCAGGTAAATAAGACTGAATGGATCGTTCTTTCAAAGAGCCAGCTCACACACAATAGTAATAATAATAATAATCCTTGAATTTGATATAGCGCCTTTTCACATTGTCGAAGTCTCAAAGTGCTTCACAAGATATACTGTAAAATGGATTGACTGTATTTTGTGGATGAAATGCTTGGCTCAGCAGCCTCTTTCTGAGGTGTCCGTTTCCCTGGCTCAAGCAGCTCTTATAAAAGTGAAAAACATTTATTTCTTCATTAAACAATGGTGCGTCGCAAAACATGCAGGAATCGGAGGCATTCCTCAGTCCAGAATGTGAGGTATTTGCAGCCGCGCACACAGTTGGGAAATGTCAGAGTTCATTTCTGAACTTTTGCATTAGCCAAAATCTTCAGGCAGGAAAATTCGGGTGTTTGAGATGGAATCTCTTCAGGCTATCACTGTCAGCCCCCCCCCCACCCCCCCAAGATATTATTGCAGGAGCATTATGGCAGGAGGGGGAGGGGAGGGGGGTCTGGAATCAATCAGAATTTTTTTCAGAATGTACAAATTACAAATGTCTTACATTTATATAGTGCCTTTCAAAACTAATCCAAATTACATGTTTCTTTCTAAAATTGTAATGAACCTGCATTGTATTAGCTGATGACTGTCCAGACAACCTTTGCTGATTTGGCTGTGATGTTTCGCCATCTCTCCCCCACCCCATGGTCAAATACCTTCTTGATACTCCATCAAGGTAGGCAGGTGAATAATGGAGATGCTGAAGGGGGGGAAACGTACACCCCACCAGAAGAAATATTCGAAGTTCTGGGGAGAACATTGTTTTTTGATCAACCGGGTGTGTGCCACATGCAGAGACACCCATCAGCATGCTTAAGAGTATCCAAACCAAACTGAGAATTCCATGTGTCCCACCTACAAATAGGAACTGTTGGAAATTGTTGGAAGAGAATGCATCGCATCTACCCATGGAGATTCTAAAGATAGATTGCTGGAATGGAATGCACAGTCTCTCTCTGGAGGGATGAATTACCTAATTCCAGAAAGTATTAGGCCAGCTTTGGCAAGAACCAAGGGTTGGGGACTCAGAGTGTGCAGGGTATTGCTGGAGTTTTAACCAGCTAAACCTGAATAGCTTCCCAATGATATCACTGTCTGGCAAGCTTTCCTGCTGCTTGTCCAGTTAGGATCATCCTACATGTTAGGGCTTTGGTTTGCAGGGTTAGCAGTAGCCAAGTAAGATGACTCCCAGCCCCCAGTGACTGGCCTGCCCTTCCAGGTCCTGCCGATGAGCCAGGCTGGCTGTGTTGTCATCAGCAGAGTCCTGGAATACTGCGGATCCACCTGGCTCAGGAAACCCTTGGGGGGAAGTAAGCGCCAAGGAGACCCCACTCACCTCCCCCCCTCCCAGGAGGATAATGGAGATAACATCAGAATAGGAGTAGACCATTCACCTGTCAAACTTGCTCTATTTTCTTAGATTATGGCTGATCTGTAATTCGATATCATTTGCCTACACTTTGATACCTTAACTAGCTAAGAATTTATCTACTTCCCTCTTAAACACCGTCTGCAACATCACCTTATCTGAAAAACACTTCCCCTCACCTCCCCTCTGTTTCTTTTAACAACTATTTTAAATTGGTGTCCTTAAGTGTTGGTTTAACTTTGCAATAATAAAGCCTTTTAAAGCACAGAGTAATTTTCAGTTTCCAAACAGGAAACCTAGAAAACAGCCCTGTTTTAAAAAGCAACCTGTGACCTCTCAGGACATTTTCTTTATTAACAAGAACTTTCTCCCTTTCCCCCTCCTGTTCAGAAGGAAGAGGAAAGTTGGACAATGCAGCCGAGTAATTTCCTGCCCGAAGTGAAAGAAGGCCATGAAACTTACAAAGGTGGGAAAGAGAACAGTGAATGCGAGCTTCAGATCCGTGGCCTTGTTGACATCAATCTCTTCAGTCTGGTGGCACTAAACTGGCTTCCCCAAAGGCCCAGTGGGTAAAGGCACCGCACACCACTGTACAGTCCTGCAGGGTCGCACGTTCAAATCCCGGTCTGTTCTGACGTATTGATCTAAATCAGGGCGACATCCAGGATGCTACGCTGCATGAAGGGTGCTATATCAGTGCAACTTGTTGTACATTTGGTCTCAAGAGGTTATGGGTTAGGAAGGTGGGAATATCATCCAGAGCTTCCACTCCTGATGTACTGTGCCCCCCCACACACACACACTGGAATGTGTGTGTGTGTGTAAGTGTGTATGTTTGTGAATGTCAGGTGAGGAAAGGATCGGAAAAGAACAAGGGAGAAAAAGAAGTGAGAATGGGAAATGTAAAAAAGAGCCAGAACAAGAGAAAGAAAGAAACAGAAATGAGAGCAACAACCAAGAGCTCCTATAGCACATTAGAACCCACCAGGAAAATGCCAAGATTAGCAGTGAGATATAGCATTCGAGGCGGCACATAGAGTGTGGCTCAGAGTGTTAACAAGGTAGTAATAAAACCATTCTTTCCTCCTGTCCTTCCTGTATTTACAGAAGAATTGAGTTCTCAGTTCTCAGTCACACCCAAGCCAAAGGGTCAGAATGAAAGGAAAGGCCCAATTATAGTTTGTAAATGGAAAAAGTTAGTATCAGCTTAAAGCCCTTCACAGAGCTCGCTGTGTGTGGGTGGGTCCACAGCAAGAGGCCCTGAGGGAGGGGTGTGATGGAGCAGCGGATGTGATGCAGTGGGGGAGCAATTGGGGAGGGGTGCAGGGAGGATGCAGTGAAGGAAAGTGTCAAGGGGTGAAAAGAGCTGTTTTGGCTACAGTTCAGTTTGTGTACCTGCCACGCTGGTTGGGCTAGCCCTCTGTGCGGAGGTCCTGTGAATTTGCTTATCCAGTTTTGTCATAACAGGAAATTGACTGTTTTTAAGTCCATACCATAAATAGGACTCACAACGGCACGGCATCAGAGAGGACACTGGAATAGCCAGTGATGGGAAAAGGTTGTTTAGACCACCAGAGCTCATCCTCCCGCAACACACCATCTCCCATTTCAATACACCACAACACAACATATTGCATCTTCCATCCCAACACACCGCATCACAACACAATATATATAACCGACATATAGCCCGACATACACAGCCCCTCACCCTCCACACAGCTCTTCTTCAAACACACCACAACACAACACACCGCATCACAATACACTCCATCGCAACACAACACGTACAGCCCACATATACTTCTCCCCATATAAACAGCCCCTTTCCAACACAACACACCACATCACAACACACCCCATCACAATGCACCACACCACATCCCATCGCAATACACCCCATCACAACACACCACATCACGACACACCGCAACACACCCCATCACAACACATCCCATCACAACACACTCCATCACACCACATCACAACACAGTACATCACAACACACCACATCACCACACATCCCATTACAACACACCACATCACAATACACCGCATCACAACACACTCCGGCTCCCATCTCAAAACACTACATATCCCATCAGAACACACTATTTATCCTATTTCAACATACCACACTACATCTCCCATCTCAACACACTGTAATGGAGTGAGTGAGGAGGAGAGTGGGTTGGGAGGAAGACTGCTGAGTGATTATAAAGTGTCACTGAGAGCCAGCTGAACACTCCAACACAGTTCCAGAGGCTCCAACTATTTCCCTGAAAGCAGACTCCAGAGCATAAATACATGGGCCCCAGCACCCTGTGAGATCAGGAATACATGGCTGATTTTAAAATATAGCAGCCCACTGACTCACAAGTGCTAAAAATTGTGTGTCATTGTTTATGCTGGTTTGCATGCTTTGTATACACAATGAAATAATATTTCTACCACATGTCACTGAGTGAATGCACACTGTGGTTTGGACCAGCTCTGGCAGTCCAGTGCCCTCATATGGACTCCCTGAAAGGGGAGTGGCGGTGCAAGTGGGTCAGTGGGAGTTAATTTACGGCATTTATTGACGAGATTCCTTAAATAAGGAACGTGAGCCATGCAAATAGGAGCTCCTTCACGGAACCGGAAATGCATCACAACATTGGTTTGGACGAAGAAGGACCTTGAGGGATTTTGTCTCATCCTTTCAAATCCCCGCCCTATCATAGTGTCCAGCTCTTTCTTCAATGAGTCCCATCGCCCTGGCTTCATCCACCCTTCCTAATAATCTGTTTCCCTTTCATTGACCTATGACTCACATCGTCCCATCTATTTCCACACAGTGTAGAGTGTGAAGTATGTAAAGAATGAAGTATGTATAATGTGTGTGAAGTGTGTGTAATGTGTGTGAAGGGTGTAGCCACCCATCACACACATTAACATCACACTTGGTATGCTTCCAGCGGTGGCTGGCCAGCTTCCTGTAACAACAAAAGCACCACCAACAACAGCAACAGTTGGCATAGTCAAGCTTAGATGTAATAAATACATGAATGAAGGTTTCAGCGACATGCAGGGCTTGCAGATCTCACCGATGACTTCCCATGACCCCAGAAATGCTGGCATTTGGCAGAACCACCACACATTATAACACAAGGTATGGTATCAGGACCACAAGTACCCGTTATTACAGATTAAATTTTAGGATTTGACTGCTTTCATCAACAAGTTCAGAAAGGAATTAGATAGGTAGTTGATGAAGAAATCAATTGTAGTGTAAAATAATGCTTACATTAGATATAGAGCCTTATCGCATCGTCAAAACATCTCAAAATGCTTACCTAGTAGGAACCCAATTTTTAGTCAATTGGAGGATTGCTTTCCAGGGATAATAAAGGCCTCCAAAAAAAAAAGGGTCCATCAATCCACGACTGTTTGTGGGACAAACAGTCCCACAAATGGCTACTGTGTTTCACCTACAAAATACACAGTCCACTTTACAATATATTCTATGAAGCTCGAGATGTCTCAACTACGTGATAAGGCGCTATATCAAATACAAGGATTATTATTGTTAACATGAAGGGCTTTTGAGACATTCAACATGATAAGGTGCTATTCACCTACAAAGTAGATAGTCACTGCACTTTACAGTACATCCTGTGAAGTACAATGAGACATCTGGCAGTGAAGTGATAAGGCAGTGAATATCAAATACAGGGATTATTTTTCTTATAAAAGCATAAGTTTCTCAATTTTGCTACCATAAACCTGGTGCTCCATCCCATTTCTTGCAAGCGAAAGAAAGAAATCTCTGAGCAAACGTAATAGGTTAAAGTCAAGGCAAACGTTTAATGTGGCCCTTATGTGAAGGTTATTACGCCCTCTCAGCAAAATAAATGTTAAAATGTATATTTGCTTCACATGATACATGTCAGTGCAAATGGAAAGCTATTTTTCCCAGGGCAGTTGTTTTATGGAGGTTGCCAGGGTTACCGTTTTGACAGATGGTTGGCAGGCGCCACCAACCCAGAATGCAATCAGCCCTGGTCCCTGTTATTTAAAAGAGTGACTCATGACTGCACGCTTGTCGAAGTGGAATATTTTGACATTCGGTGGATCGGAGCAGGCTTCAAATGGACCCCATGTGTGATGCATAAGCCCTGCCACACAGGCAAAGAGAGAAACTTCATAAAACTAATAATCATCCTTACATCCTCTAAAACCAGCCTTTCAATAGTCATTATTATTATGAAGGGCTTTGAGACATTTCAACATGATAAGGTGCTATTCAACAACAATAACAAGATTACATTTGTATAGCACCTTTCACGTCGGGAGGATATCCCAGGGCGCTGGACAGAGTACAGCATTTCGGACCCGAGCTGGGGTTGGGGGGGTAAGAGCGGGGAGGGGAAGGGGGGGGTGGCCAATGGCATGGTCAAAGAGGAGGGTCTTGAGGCAGGACTTGAAGGAGGCTAGGGAGGGGTTGAGGCAGAGTGATTGGGGGATGGAATTCCAGAGGTTGGGGCCAGAGTGGCTGAAGGCTCTCCCGCCAATGGTGGGGTGGGTGGGTCGGGGGATGTGGAGCACGCCAGAGCCGGCTGAGCGGAGGGAACGGGCAGGTTGGTAGGGGGTTAGTAAGTCGCAGAGGAAGGGTGGGGTGAGACCATGGAGGGCTTTGTATGTGAGGACCAGGATCTTGAACTGGATCCTCTGAAGGATAGGAAGCCAATGGAGTCGGGCGAGAGTGGGGGAGATGGGGTCACGGAGTTTGGTGCAGGAGAGGACACGGGCTGCAGAGTTCTGGATTATCTGCAGCCTGTGGAGGGAGGAGTTGGGAAGGCCGACAAGCAGGGCGTTTGTATAGTCGAGCCTGGAGGTGATGAAAGCATGAACAAGAGTTTCAGCGGCCTGAGGGGTGAGGTAGTGGCGGAGTCGGGTGATGTTACGGAGGTGAGGGAAGGCAGAGTGGGTCATGGCTTGGATGTGGGGGAGAAAAGACAGTTGAGGATCGAACAAGACACCTAGTTTCCTGACTGTCTGGTGAGCTGAAGTGGGCAACCATGGAGGTTGATGCTGCCAGAGCCTGAGGTGCTGAGGCGCTGGCGCGAGCCAATCAGGAGGGCCTCAGCCTTGTTCACATTCAACTGTAGGAAATTTACCCTCATCCATGACTTGATGTCCGACAGGACATTCACCTACAAAATAGTCACTACACTGTACAGTAGATCCTGCGAAGCACAATAAGACATCTTGGCAGTGAAGTGATAAGGCTCTATATCAAATGCAAGAATTATTATTATTATTATGTTATTGTTGCAGTTTAGATCCCTCTACAGAGATAGTTTCTGAGTAGTTTTCAGTGAATGGTCAGCTGGATCGTTCAAATGGGAACTGGATAAACAGCCGGACAGCAAAGACACGAGGGGAAAGAGCCGGGAAGTGGCATTAATTAGCAGATTGTTATTACAATAATAACAAAATACAAGTTCCTCTGTTTCTTTAACATCTGTCCCCTTTCGTCCAAACAGAAGAAATCTCAAAGCAGATGAAACAGTTAAAAGTCAGGGCAAATGTTTAATGTGGTCTATATTTCATGTAGTGCCTTGCACATCACGTCCTGTAGCTCAGTGGTTAGAGCACTCGCCTCGCAAGCGAGAGACCTGGGTTCGATTCCTGGCAAAGCAAAACCTTGGGCAAGTTTCTTTACTCCACATGCCTGATAATAATCCCTCAAGAAAAAAAGCCAATGATAAAATTTAATCCATGAATGTTTGTGGGACACTGCTGTGCGCAATTAGCTGCCGCATTTGGCCCACAAAATATAGTGTCAATTCACTTTACAGTCTTCTGTGAAGTGCTTTGAGACGTCTCGAAGAGGTGATAAGGTACTATATCAAATGTAAGAATTATTATTATCACGTCAGAAGGATGGTTCAAAGCGCTAAACAGGATTTATTGTGAAATGTAGTGACTGTGTAATTGTAGGCAAACGCAGCAGCACAGATACACACAGCAATGTCCCACAAACAGCCATGTAGTGAATGTCCATTTTTTTTTATTTGGGGGATTGACGGCCAGGATATCTGAGAAAATGCCTTCCCTTTTCCAATAGCGTCATGGGATCTTTAACATCTATCTAAAGAGTCATTCAGAACTCTGCAGCTCGTGTACTGTCCCACACCAGGCTTCGGGACCACATCACTCCCACCCTCGCTCGCCTCCACTGGGTCCCCATCCCCCAGAGGATTGATTTCAAGGTCCTCATCCTCACCTATAAGGCCATCCACGGCCTTGCTCCCTCCTACCTCTCTGACCTACTATCCCCCTACCTACCTGCCCATACCCTCCGTTCCTCCGGCTCCGGTCTGCTCCACGTCCCCCGCCCCAACCGCCCTACCATCGGTGGTCGGGCCTTCAGTCTCTCAGCCCCGAGGCTCTGGAACTCCATCCACCAGTGTCTTCGCCTTGCTTCCTCCCTCTCCTCCTTCAAGGCCGGTCTCAAAACCTTTCTCTTTGACCGAGCCTCCTCTCGACTCTCTTCCCCCTCCTCGCTCCCTCCTTTCCCTCCCCTCACCCTGACCATTTCCCCCCTCCTCGCTCCCTCCCTTCCCTCCCCTCACCCTGACCATTTCCCCCCTGCTCGGGTCCTGACCCAACTGTGCAGCGCCTTGGGACGTCCTCCTGACGTGAAAGGCGCTTTATAAATGGAATCTTGTTGTTGTTGTTGTTGTTGAGGCAGATGGGACCTTGGTTTAACAACAGCAACTGCACCGTTCAACCGGGGTAGTGTCCCGGCGTGCTTTACGTCTCATCCAAACAACGTCACCTCCAACAATGCAACACTCTCCTCCCTCCCCTCCCCAGCACTGCATTGGAGTGTCAGCTTAGACCATGTGATTTCAAATTCAGGCGAGGTGGAGGGAGTTCCAGGGGTTAGAGGTGTCATGGCTGAAAGTGATGGTGGCAGAGAGGTTGGAGACATGCAGCAGCTCTGTATCCACTGAGTGAAGGAGAGAAAATAATAATAATAATCCTTGAATTTGATATGGCGCCTTATTACATCATTGAGACATCTCAAAGCACATCACAGAATTTACCATAAAGTGTAGTGACTGTGTGTTTTGTGGGCGAAATGCGGCAGCCAATTGCACACAGCAGTGTCCCACAAACAGTCGGGATTGAGTGACTAAATTATTTTTTTTTGAGGGATTATTACCCACGGAAAGCAATCCACCAATCGACTAACAAGCAGGTACCTACTTACTGCTGGGTTTCGCCCTATGGTCACTGCACTCTACAGTGTATCTTGTGAAGTGCTTTGAGATGTCTGACACGAAAAGCGCTGAATCAATCGTATGGATTATTATTATTAATATTAATAACCCTCTGTCTCTTTTCTGGCTGCCTGGCGTGCAGAAATCTGGCTCATCCGCAACGAGACGGGAAACTTCCAGCAGATGCATGATGTGCAACTGATAAGGGAACACGTGCGTAGGGACCTGGAAGAGGAGCTGAGGATTCAGGTACAAACACTGTACAACATTGATTACAGATACAGCACTTTGACACCAGGAGAACATTCCACTTAACTACAACAACAAATTACACTTATATAGCATTTATATGGTATTGTACAGTGAAAGGTTTGCAACTGAGCTGGGGGGCTGGAGTGAAGAGGGGTGGAGGGCATGAGGGATGGGGTGGGAAGATGACCAAAGGCGCGGTCGAAGAGGAAGGTTCTTGAGATAGACCTTGAAGGAGGCAAGGGAGAGGGTGAGGCAGAGAGATTTGAGGATGGAAGTCCTGAGGGTGGGGCCAGAAAGGCTGAAGGTGCGACTGTCGATGGTGGAGCAGGCAGGGCGGGGACGTGGAGCAGGTCAGTGCCCACCGAGCAGAGAGGGCGGACAGATTGGTAACGTATTAGGTAAACAACACTGGCTTGGCACCCAGGGGGGAAGAGAAAGATGACCAAAAGTGCAGTCAAAGAGGCCTTGAGATGGACCTTGAACGAGGCAAAGGAGATAATGAGTTGGAGGGACTACGGGATGGAGTTCCACAGCCCGGAGGGACAAGTACGCTGAAAGCCCAGCTGCTGTTGGTGGGATGGACAGGATGGGTAAATGAAGGAGGCCGGTGCAGCGGTCTCATCTCTGAGTCAGAAGGTAATGGCTGCAAGCCCCACATCATGCCTGTTTAACAGCATAATGTCCCCTTTGTTCAGCTGGCACGGGCCTGCTTGTGAGCTCCAACCCCTCCGTGCCACCATCGGTAGTCATGCCTTTAAGCCACTACACCTTACTTCTAGAACTCCCTGCCTCAATCTCTATACCTCACCCATTCTATCTATTTTTAAAAAAACAACTTAATTTAAGATTTATCTCTGCCCCTATGGTCATTTGCTCCTCTGAGTCAGAAGTTTGTGTATTCACGTCCCCTAGTATAGGCTGACACTTCAGTACAGTGGATACAAGCATGCAACTTTGATATGCATTTGTCACAGAGGCCGTTCATTGCCTCACACACTCTGACAGAAGCTATTACTGGCAAAGTGATGTAATAGCTTCATTTGGTGTGGTGGTGGGCGGGAGGGTAAAAAAAATCCCTAGTTCACAGCAAAAAAATAAAAATTCAAAACTGCCTCATAACACCTCATCATGAAAACCCTGTTTTGTCTTTCGCTTAACCCTGGGCCCTGCGTGGAGATATTTCTCTATCCAGATCCTACTGCTCCACTAAAGGCACCAACACATCATTGTTTTCCCGCAGTGCAAACTACAAGGCTATTCACTGAAATGTCAGCCTCTCAGAGCGTGGGTTTTAATTTGAGTCTGTGTTCAAAAGCCAACCAGGTTCTTACTCAATTGGCGGATCACATTTCCAGGGATAATCCTTCAAAAAAATAATAATAATTTGGTCACTCAATTCACAACTGTCTATGGGACACTGCTGTGCGAAATTGGCTGCCGCATTTCTCCCACAAAAAACAGTCAATCCACCTTACAATATATTCTGTGAAGGGTTTTGAGACATCTAGAAGACGTGAAAAGCGCTATATCAAATGCAAGGATTATTATTGTATTTTATAGTGCTGAGGGATGTGAACACTCTGAGATGTCTCAATGTTTTAATAATGCTCTTTTTGGGGGTCAGCGGGTGCCTGACACATTTGGAAACCCATCACCATGCTTAAGAGTATCCAAACCAAAATGAGAATTCCATGCGTCTCACCTACACATGAAAATTCCAGAACTAGTTATTGGATTGGAATATGCATTCTCTCCCTGGAGGGACGCATTCTGTTTATATAATACCGGAAATACTCGGCATAGGTTGGCAAGAGCCAAAGCTTTGGGACCCCAGAATGTACGTTGGGGTAACTGCCGGAGTCCAAACAGTTAATACTGCATAGCTTGCCATTGAGAGCACTGCCTCTCAAGCTTTCCTGTTGCTTGTCCAGCTAGGACCATCCTAATGGTTAGGGCTTTGGCTTGCAGGGATGCTATAATAAAATGCAAAGGCGCTATATAAAATGCATAGATGATAATTATTTATTGTTACTGTATTTTAGTGCTTACCTTTCCCAACTCATAATACCCTTTTCCAACATTACAGCTGCAAAAATATTGCAAGGGTTAATAACTATTAGCAATTTTTTTTGCACACAGATCAGCTTCTTTGATGTGAATTACAATTTATTTACACGGCGATTTATTTGACAATATAAACGAGCCCCCTCTGTCTGACTGCAGACATGTTGGAGCCTGTGACATTTTACCCAGTTTTAATCAGCCAGGAGAAGATTTAAGTTTCTGTGAACATGTTTCAGCATCTGAACCCGTACAGGATTTCAGATGCAATCCTATTAACTTCCTGCTGACATTTGAATTGGAAAGAAGTGTCAAGTCCTATAGGAAATAAGCTTCACACATTCTGGGAGTCACTTCATGTCCGCAATCTCGATCCCACGAGCGATACACATATTAAAAATACACAGTGTGTCTTCAGACTTTCCATTTCAAACATGAGCATGCAATTGCCCTTGCTTGTCTCTTCCTCTGACGCTGCTGTTTTTAATCCTCTGTCTGTTTTCTCGAACTCTCACTCTCAGCTGAGTATTTGTTTGGCTGTTTCAGGAAAACTAAACTTGGCTGTTTTGAAATTTAAACTTAAACATCCTGTCCTTCTGATGAGACATTAAACCGAAGTCCCTTCTGCCTGTTCAGGCGGATGTTAATGATGCCGTGACGCTATTCAAAAAGAGAATGGAGTTTCTCTCTCCTGGTGTCCTGGTCAACAATCATCCAAATAAAAAATTGGTCACTCGCTCCATGGCTGTTTGTGGGACATTGCTGTGCGCAAATGGCTGCTGCACTTCATCCACAAAATTCACAGTCTTTACAGTGGATCCACTTTACATTTTACAGCTGTGAAGCATTTTGAGATGCCTCAATGATGTGATAAGGCACTATATCAAATGCAAGATTATTATTATTAATTTGGCAGAGACTGGGGATCAGTCTGGACACAGGCAGTGTGCTGGGATGAGCTGTACAACAACGATCTTTCTCACTGTTACTTTATTTACGTAGCATTTCCACGCGATCAGAATTTGGCAAATTGTTGAACTCACTCTTCACTATTGAAGTTGGTTTTCTGCAATTCTAAAATGAAATGTGGAGAAGAGAGAACCAATTTCAGAATTAAAGAGAATTTGCCAAATTTTTTTAAAAAAGTTCTGAAATGCTAGAACAAATCTGGTGGAATTTCTCCCTGTTCAAGTTTGCATGTTGCGAGTCTTAAGCAGCTGGAAGCTCCTCTCAATGTGGTACAATAGATAAAGGCTTGCTGGCTAAAGTGTGTGTGAACTGTCCTTTGCCTCTGGTCTTTATTCTCTCCCTCTGCTCACCCTTTCCTGTCATTATCTACATTGCCTTGCTCTTTGCCCCTCTGCGCTTCCCTTTCTTGTTCTTCTCAAGCTTCAGAAACGTCATACCACGTCCTCTTAAACCTCACTTTATCATCAGCCCATTCTTCATTCTTTCCTTGGCCTTGTATGTCTTTCCCTTCCTAAGTCTTCCCTTCCTCAGTTTTCTCTTCTCCCTTCCCATAGTGGAAGTCTACATAGCGTAATGGTTAGCTCACTCAGCTCATAAGCGAGAGGACCACACACCTCTGTTTACCTAGCAGTAAGTAGGAACCCAGTTGTTGTTAATTGGCAGGACCACCACATAATAATCATGGTCACTCAATCCACGACTGTTTGTGGGACATTGCTGTGCGCAATTGACTGCCACGTTTCACCCACAAAATACACAGTCAATCCACTTTACGGTATATTATGTGAAGTGCTTTAAAACATCTTAACAAATGCGAGGATTATTATTATTCCTTTCCGGCTATTAAAATCCAAAGCATGACTTCATTTAACCACTGCTTATTAACGTAACTCATTTTCTTAGCTAACATTTCAGCCTGTCCATAATCCATGTATTGATTAACGTGACGCCCAAAGCTGAAAAATGTTATGGTAAATGGTAGCAAACGCAGCCATGCTCTGGTCAGACCACACTTTGAGTACTGTGTCCAGTCTAGCCTCTTTGATATGACAAGGAGCCCTCCTGCAGAGGGGAGCAAAGAGACTGATCTCCATTGTTCATACAATGAGGACCTTGAAGGAGTATTTAAAATAATAATAATCCTTGCATTTTGTGTAGCCATTTCACATCGGGAAGACGTCTCCACGTGCTTCACAGGATTTTACTATATAGAGCATTTTGTAAGTGAACATGGCAGCCAATTTGGACAACACAATGTCTCCCAAACAACCGTAAAGTGAGTGTCCATTTTTTATCTTGGCCAGGACACAAGGAGAGATTCCCTTCTCTTTTTCAATAGTGCCATGAGATTTTTAACTTCCACCTGAACAGGCAGACGGGACCTCAGTTTAATGTTTCATCCAAAGGATGGTATCTCTAACAGTGCAGCACACCCCCATCACTATGCTGGAATGTGACCTCAGAGTCCTGACGTATCCACAACCTTCTGGCTCAAAGGCGAGAGTGCTAGCAACTGAGCCAGGCTGGCAAATGTTTGCTAAGAACCTGCCTGTATGTCTTGTTAAGCGATTATTCTCAGTAGTTCTCTTTAAATAGATTATATGGATTTGATCTCTTTCTGTTTGGGCATTGCCAAGAGGATCCTGGAATCAAGCTTCCAATCAGTGAGGCTGACATTCCACATTTGCATGGTTTTGTGAAGTTAACATATAAACAGTTGCTGTTCGGACATGTTGAGGTTCCAGTAACTTGTGTTTCAGAAGCCGTTGTTGGGCTGAATTGAAGGAATTGCAAATGATTCCACATAAATTCAGTCATGATTTCAAAGCCATTTTTTTCTGATATTTTTAAAAAGAAATTAACTGAATTTAGGGTGGCCTTGTCAGAGCACGCCGACTGGCCTCCTCCTGTTCCTATTAGAGCGTGCTCATAGTGACGCCCCCTAACCCCCACTTCTACACTGATTTTCCCCCCCTGTTGCTCACACTGCTCCATCCCACGCTGACCCCACACTGGCCCCCATGCTCAGCACTGCGCCCCTACGCTCAGTTCTGCCCCCCCGACTCCACAGTGCCACCCTCCCCTCCATATTTCCCCCATGCTCAGCACTCCCACCCCCCCCCCCCCCCACACTCTGCACTGCCCTCTCCCCCCACATTGCTCCTTCTCCCCTCACATTGCTAACTCCCCCCTACATTGCACTCTCCCCCCACACACTAATGCTCCTTCCCCCCACACTCTGCACTGCCCACTGGGTCTGCAGCATGGGAGTATTCAAAGATACTCAAAAGGTGGAGACTTTAAACCCAGAACAGATACTCCCTGCAGGTCAGGAAGGAACAGATCAGCTCTTTTCATACTCCCAGACCGCAGCAGCTATTTTGATACTGTCATAATCAGCAGTTGGAGCTTTAGTCACCAGGAGAGAAATCGGAGGCTAGGTCCCTGGGACACATTTAAACACAACTCAATGTTATAACGGGAGGGCGATAGCCTGAGCACTCTGGGCTTTCTTTGTGTCGCAAGCAGCCATGTGCATGGGCTGGGGGGGATGGGTGGGGGTGGGTGAGGTTCTCCTCCACGAACAGAGATCTAATCCTCCCCTTCCCTTGCTCACACTGAATGCCCTTACCCAAAAAACACACACAGTCACACACCATTCATTACATTGTGTCCTGTGCTGTGTTTTGAAGCCGCAGTCACCGATGGTGTAGCGGAGGGAACGAGTGATGAACAGGGGACGGAGGCTGCCGAGTGGCGGCAGCAGGTGGGGGAGTGGGGGCTAAAGCAAATTGGATAGGTAGGGAGGTGCGAGGGCATGAAGGGATTTGAAAACGAGTGAGAGGATCTTCAAATTGATCCATTCAGCAATTGGGAGCCAGCGGAGCCTGGCAAGGACTGGTGTGATGGGGATAGGGACTGTTGTGCAGGTGAGTATCCAGTGCAGGTGAGCTGCAGGAAATTTGCGCTTATCCGGGCCTTGATGGCTGTCAAACAAATTGACAGGACATCAGTTAACGGAGAGTTGATGCTGGAGGAGGAGAAGTAGATAATAATAATAATAATAATAATCCTTGCATTTGATATAGCGCTTTTCACATCGGGAGGACGTCCCACATCTGAAACGCCTATGTTTCATGTGTGGCACTCCTCTTTGAAGATTTCCATTGCTCGTTTGGTGTTTTACCTGCTAGTCTTTCTTTCCAGTCCACCTTGGCTAGGTCACTTTTTAACTCACTGAAATTAGCCCTCTTCCAGTTGAATATCTTTACCTTTGATTGTTCCTTGTACTTTTCCATAAGTACTCTAAACCTAATGATGTTGTGATCACTCTTGTCCAGATGCTCTCCTACTGAAACCTGCTCCACTTGCCCCACTTCATTCCCCAGAACTAGATCCAGCACTGCTTCCTTCCTTTTGGGCTGGAACACACTGATCCAGAAAGTTATCCTGCACACATTTCAGGAATCCTTCCCCCTTACACTGTTATTTTGCTAGTCTATGTTAGGATAACTGAAGTCCCCCATTATCACTGTTCTATTGTTTTTTCATCTTTCTGAAATCTGCTCGAGCAGAGAGCCCAGCAGTGTGAGGAGGGCACTGAGTGAGTTGGAACAGAGTGAGAATTTGGTTAGGGAATTAGCTGAGAGTGGGAATTCTTCAGTAGGAGAGATACCAGAGAGCAAAAGAAAACTCTTGCATTCAGCAGAAGAGTGGGAAATCTTTCTTGAAGTCGAGGCAACCTTACATGTAAGCAGGCAAACAAGGCAATTTGCAGTTAATCCTAGGCCAAGTGTTTGGGTTTAATACATTTGCTGACCAGTCAAAACTGGTTGCTTTTATTTGAGACCTATATAAAAGGCCTCACTTGAGCAGAGAGCCCACTAGGTTTGAGATAATTGGCGTTTGATGTAATGATTTAAGAGGCGCACGGAGGAGGTGGTTGGTGGTGAAGAATAGGATTTGGGAGTTATTTTTGGCTTCCAGAATGATCTTTTGAGTTTTTGCTTGTGAGAGGGAGCGGTGGTAGGTGTGAAGGTGCTTGAGCCATACCTGGCAATGAACTGCGAGGTTGGTTTTCTGTCACCTGCGTTCGAGCAACCGGGTTTGTGATTTTAGGGAGCGGAGATGACTATTGTACCAGGGGAACTGGTAGGTTTCGAGATGGTCCTGGATTTCAAGAGGTTCAGGGAGTTGAAGGTGGAGGAGAGACAGCTTGATGGCTGCATCGGGGTGGCTGCAGGTGGAAATGCCAGAGGGTGATGAGGTCTGAGGATGAGAGGGCATTTGTGAGGGTCTTGGAGGGAAGCCTTTTTAATGGGCAGAAAAGGATGGTGGAGGGGTTGATGGTGGGGAGAGAGATGTGAGAGGAGAAGGAACCTAGGAAATGGTCTGAGCTGGCCTGGTTCATGATGGACAGACTGGAGACATGTAAGCCGTGGTTGATGACAAGGTCTAGGGTGTGCCTACAGTTGTGGATCGGGGAGTTTATATGGAGGGAGAGATTTAGGGTGGAGAAGAGGGCAGTGAAGTCAGAGCAAGTGGGGCAGGAGGAGTTGAGATGAAGGTTGAAGTCACTCAGGATGAGCAGGCATTCAGTCCAGAGGGTCAGGAATGAGAGGAGAGAGGATGTCTACAAGGAAGAAGCCAGGAGGTTTGGGGGGTTGTACACAAGGAGTATTTTGAAGGAGAGAGGATTTTTGAAGTAGGTGCTCGCCTTTCATAAGGTGCTCAAAAGAGGGAAACAGCCAGAGGACTAGTGGGATAGGTTAAGGGAGGCTTGGAACATGAGGGCCACCCCAATGCTGCAACGGTTGCGGCAGGGGGTGTGGTGGAATGTATAGCCAGAGGGGGAGATTTTGATAAGAGGGTTGGGGTTGTTGGGGGACAGCCAGGGATGTCAATATGCTCATCCAGGGTGAGGTTGTGGATGGAGGGTTCTTTGTTTGAGAAGGTGTGAATGTTTTGTGGGAGCTGATGGGATTGGATGCTGAGGGGAGGGGTTTGCGGGGTTGCAGATTGTGGGGGCTGAATGACCGTGGGGTTTGAGGGGGGGAGGAGAGTTGTGAAGGATGTGGGAAGGGTTTGCCTTATAGATGCAGGGGAGAGTCTTGTGTAATGAGTGGGTGTTGGTGTAGTCAAGGTGGCTGCTCTGGGACAACCAACAACATATGCCGCGATGAATATACTGTAAAATGCACTGACTTTGTATTTTCAGGCTAGTTCGTGCGTGGCAATGTTCCAAAAACAACCTTGATGATAATGACTAATTTTATTTGGGGGATTGTCAGTCAGTACAGCAGGAGAGAGAAACATCCTTCTCTTTTTCAATTACACCATAGGATCTTTAACATCCACCTAAACAGGCAGATGGACTTCAGTTTAATGTCTCATCTGTATTTTATGGATAAAACTGACTTTTCCGGCAGGTGGATGAGCTGATGAGACAGGAGCTGAAGAATTTAAAGCTGATAATAGACAGGGATGAAGGCACAGTGAAAAAATCCAAGAAAGGCAGAAAAAAGGTAGGTACTCAGTGTGAAGAATAATGTTTGGCTCAAAACTTGTAAACAGCACTGAGGGGATGCTCATTGAACTACTGTGCTTTTCTTTGGTCAGCTGTGTGTCTGACTCGTGCAGAAACCCATCACTGTGTTTAAGAATAGACAAATCAAACTGAGAATTCCAGACATCCCACCTACACATAGAAATTGTTGGAATAGGACATACCCTACTTGCCTAATTCCAGAAAGTATTTGGTGCAGGTTAGCAAAAGCCAAGGGTTGGAGTCTTTCATATATATTGGTGTTACTAACCTGTAACCAACCTACAGCAGGATGTTTGGTTATTATAAATGGAAGTTCTCTTCCCACCCCCATGACAGAGTAATTTTTTGGGGTCAGCCGGGTATCTGACACATGCAGAAATCACCATGTTTAAGAATATCCAAACCAATCAGAGTTCCACACATACTCTGCCTACACATGGAAAGTTCCAAAGTTCCCTGTGTCTGGAATGGAATGCACTCTCTTTCCTTGGAGGGATGCCCTTCTTACCTAATTCTGGAAAGTATTAAGCACAGATTGGAGAGAGCCAATTCTTGGAGACGCCAGAGTGTGTCTTGGGGTAACTACTGAAGTTTAACCAGCTAAAAGCACATAGGTTGTCATTGAGAGCGCCATCTGGTAAGCTTTCCGTTGCTTGTCCAGTTACCTGTGAGGGCTTTGGCTTGTAAAGTTAATGGGAGCTGAGTGGGAAGAATCCCTATCCCTAGTGACTGGGCTGCTCCTCCAAGTCCTGCAAATAAGCCAGGCTGGTTGTGCTGTCATCAGCAGTGCTCTGGAATACTGCGGACCCACCTGGCTCAGGAACTACCGGGATTGCCATAGAGAGTGGACTGGTTTCCATTGACAGGCATTTCATCTTGAAGCCAGCTTAGCCACAAAGAGACACCACTTACCTCCCCCTCTCCCAAGGAGGAAAATCACTAAGTGGGTGAAAGCACTGCGTGCAACATGAAACCTTACAGACTTGGAAATCGCAGGGTTAAATCCCCGATTACCATGAGTCTGTGAGTTTACCTGATCACAGCCAGGGCAAGTATTGTGCTGCAATTGTCATTGATGCACCTGGTACAGGGTGGGAGAACATATAAGATCAGCTGCTCATAATAGTAATCCTTGCATTTGATATAGTGCGTTTCACGTCTTCTAGACATCTCAAAGCGCTTTATAGAATATCCTGTAAAGTGAATTGACTGTATATTTGTGGGCAAAATGTGGCTGCCAATTGCACACAGTGTCCCACAAACAGTGGTGGATTAAAAATGACCAATTTATTGTTTTGTTTTGGAGGGATTATTATTAGGCGTGTGAAGTAAGGAAACATGCCCAAGGTTTCGCCCTGTCTGGAATTGAACCCAGGTGTCTCGCTTGCAAGGCGAGTGCTCTAACCACTGAGCTAGAGGACTGGAAGATGACAAGCCTGGACACCCAGACAGGATCAGGCTCAGAGGCGATATTCCCCAGAGCCTGAACAGCTTGATCCTACTTGTAAATGCAGACTTGTTCCTATCGCCCACATAAAACTGGTCGTTCGCTTCACAAGGTGTTTATGGGACCTTATATGCAAATTCGCTTCCACATTTGCCTACAAAAAATGCCTTCTCAGAGGTACTGTCCTTCAGCTGAGATGTTAATCCGAGGTCCCTTCTGCCTGTTGAGGTGGATGTTAAAGCTCTCATGGTACTATTGGAAAAGAAGAGTGAGTTTTTCTTTCCCAGTGTCTGGCCAACGATCCCAGAGATATAATTGATCACTCGCTCCTTGGCTGTTTGTGCGACATTGCTGGGCGGAAATCGGCTGTCGGATTCACCTACAAAATACAGTTACTCTACTGTATAAGGGCTTTGGGACATCCTCCTGACCCAAAGGAGTATTTCAAATGCACAGATTATTAGTATTATTTAATATTGTTCCACATGCTGTAACCAAGTGACTGTTATTGTGGTAAAAACTTTGGCTGAACATGTTGTAAACTAAGGCTGATTGTTCCAAGTTGGAGTCCCAGAGTGACCAGGGTTTGGCAGCTACACGTGGCTGGAGTGTGAGCAGTTCAGAGAGAACAAACAAAAGTATTCTCTGAGTCCGCTTGTCTAAGTCTCCTTTAGGGAGACACAGGGTAGACCAGGACAGCTCCAACACCCTCACTTTCACTGGATCATAATGAAAATAGTATTAATATTGACAAGAGGTTATAAGAATAAATATTCTTGCATTGAGCTGCATGTGAGAGTGTGGAGATTTGCATTTAAAACTGATAAATGAAACCGCAGTATTTGTGCATTTTTTTCCGATGGTTACTCAGCAGCACGGCTTGCACCTTGGCTATGAACCAGCCACTTCTCAGTTACCACCCTTGGCTGAGTCACTTTCTAGGAATTATGAAAAGTAGACGTGAGCCAAAGTTCCGAGAGACTTCTCACTTCATCCTCCTAGTACAGCAAAACCAGGCGGGTCTGCAGAACTCCAGGGTACTGATAATCGGCAGGACAGACCAGTCACTGGGGCAGGGAATCCTTCCACTCAGCTTCTGTTAACCCTGCAAGCTAAACAACAACAACAAGATTACATTTGTAAAGCGTCTTTCACATCGGGAGGACATCCCAAAGCCTTAACGGGTAGGATGGTCCTAGCTGGACAAGTAGTGGGAAAGCTTACAGGACAGTAATATCTATGCCAAACTATTCAATTTTAGTTGATTAGATTCCAGCAGTACCCTGAGGCAGATGGGACCTTGGTTTAACATTTCATCCAAAGGATTGCACCTCCAACAATGCAACACACCTCCAGCACTGCACTGGAGCGTCAACTTAGCCTACGTGATTCCAAGTCCCAGTGTGGGGCTTTAACCCACAACCTTCTGACTGACTCAGATGAGAGTGCTACCAACTGAGCCAGGCTCCATGTTGCACTCCATGACTTCAGTGTCACTCCCTCACAACAATCCCTCCACTGAAAGGTTCAAGAGCAGAAGTCTTAAGAGTGTCACAGTCCAAAAAGAGGCCACTCATTCCATTGAGCCTGCACTGGTAGTTTTCTCTGCATGAAAACTAATCCCACTTTCCTGCTTTTTTTCTGTGCCCTGTACTATTCCTCCTCTTCAAAAATCTGTCTTTTGAAATGATTGATAGATTCAGCCACACCCATGGTATGTGGCAGATGTTCCACATTCCAACCACCCTCTGTATAAAGACTATTTTCCAGTGATAGTGCTGCTTCCAACACAGCAAACACTTAAATGTAGTCACTAAGGGTAAAGAGTGCGCTTGCAAAGAGGTATGAGTCAACAAGCTCTGCTTATGGAAGTGAAGGAAGACCTGGCTGGACACACATGAAATGATAAAGTGTGTCAGCCTGGCTCAGTGGTAACACTCTTGCCTTTGAGTAAGACGATGCAGTGCTGGACGGAGGGGGGATGGTTACATTGTCAGAGGTGCCATCCTTCGGATGAGACATTAAACCAACATCCTGTCTGCATGTTCAGGTGAATGTTGATGATCCCATGGCATTGTTCAAAAAGAGAAGGAAGTTTCTTGTGGAGTCCTGGCCAACAATCCACCAAACAAAAATTTGGTCATTCATTTCATGGCTGTTTGTGGAACATTGCTATGCACAACTGAGCTGCCATGTTTGCCTACAAATACAAAGTCACTCCATTTCACAGTCAATCCTGTGAAGCGATTTGAGACGTCCTTCAGATATGATTACGGGCTATAAAATTGCAAGGATTATTATTTATTTTTAAAGTAACAAGAGTAGTGGGATCCTCAAAAAATGACAAACCATACTTACACTACACATACACCACATTTATTTAAATCCTTTTGTTTCCATTCATAGAATCATACGGCATAGAAGGAGGTCATTCAGCCCGTCGTGTCTGTGACGTCTCTTTTAAAAGAGCTACCCAAATCAATCCCATACCCCCGCTCTCTCCCCATAGCCCTGCAAACTTGTCCTCCCCAAATAATTATCTACATCTCTCTTAAAAGTTGTTATCGAATCGGCTTCTACCACCCTTAAGGCAATGCATTCTAGATCCGAACAACTCGCTGTGTGAAAAAATGTCTCTTCACCTCCCCTCTTTCTTTTAACAACTATTTTAAATCAGTGCCCTCAAGTTACCAACTCACCCGCCAGTGGAAATAGTTTCTCATGTTCACCCTATCGAATTGTCTCATAATAAGTCTCCTCTTAACATTCTCTGCTCAAAGGAGAATAATCCTCGCTTCTCTCGCCTCTCCTGATAACAGAAATCCCTCATTCTTGGTACCATCCTGGTAAATCTCCTTTGCACCATCTCCAATACCTTGACATCCTTCCTAAAGTGTGGTGTCCAGAACTGAACACTCTGGCTGAGGCCTAACCAGTGCTTTATATAGGTTCATCATAACCTCCTGATATTTGTATCCTATGCCCCTATTTATAAAGCCTAGTATTCCGTATGCTTTTTTAACAGCTTTATCTACCTGTCCTGCCACCTTCAAAGATTTACTTATATGAACCCCCAGGTCTCTCTGTTCCTTCACACCCTTTAAGATTGTACCATCGGCTTATATTATCTCTCCTCATTCTTCCTCCCAAAATGCATCACTTCACATTTCTCCACATTAAACTTCATCTGCCACGTGTCTGCCCATTTTACCAATCTGTTGATGTCCCCTTACAGTCTGATACTATCCTTCTCACGGTTTACTACTTTACCTAACCGAGTATCATTTGCAAACGTGGAAATTGTACTCCCTTTACCCACATCCAGGTCATCAAAAACAGCAGTGGTCCCAATACTGACCCCTGGGGGACACCACTGCGCAATTCCCTCCAGTCAGAAAACAACTACTCACCACCACTCTCGCTTTCTGTCTCCCAACCAGTTCAGTATCCATGCTGCCACTGACCCTTTAATACCGTGGGCTTCTATTTGGCTTACAAGTCTTATGTGGCACTTTATGAAACGCCTTTTG